CCTAATTAGGTGTAGCCCCCAACTATGTGATTAGTTAACAAACTAAACATATAGTTGAGAACAAAATAATAGCATAATCATGCATCATATGACAAAAGCATATGCGGCGCCTAAAGAGGCATTCTAGCCGACTGCTTTTTAGCCATAACAAAAGAAATCCGAGTGGTTAACACTCTAAAAGGTTCACGAATGAACACACTTGACAGGCATCCGAATAAAAACTCTAAAGATTACCCACCAAGTATTATAAAAATTATGGTAATAAATAAGTCTAATAGCCTAGGCCATGACTATTTACCATAATGAAAACAGGCATATAACATACCAGGGAAACGACTATGGTAAAAACAAGTCATTCCAAGTTAACCCAGACAGCTTTTGTAGCCTAAAAAAGCTTACAAAAACAGCATAACGCCTTTCTGTCGGGCACCTTTTAATTTGCATTGCAATAATTCCAAAGAATTATATGACCGCGTAAAAAGGATTTTATCAGCATCGGGCAACACTATTGTGCACATAAATTGCCAAAGCAAAAAATGCCTAAGTCCCTAAGGAACACAATGGGCCACGCTGTTAAAAGTATTGGGCTGAGGTACTGTTCAGGCCTAGGCCCATTTGCACCTCCGATACCCTTAACAAGAAATCCGAGATCCAAGCGACGCTTCGTCTTCCCCGCCGGAACGCTCGCCATTTTCCCCACTCCCCGCTACAGTAAAGAGCTGCGCCGGCGAACTAGGGTTCACCAATCCACCCAAATCCACCTTCAAAACGTGATCAAAATCCTTCTCGTGATCCACCGCCTCAATTCCTCATCTCTCCCAAGCCATCCCTCGAATCAAATCAGCGCATTTGAGAAAAATCGATGGCGGAAGAGAGAGAAAGCTTCGAAAGCCAATGGGCGCCGTCCGACGTGACGGAAGAGAACCTGAAGGAGATGGTGGCACACGGCGTTCTCCCTGTCAAGGATATCATCGGGTGGCGGCCAGCGTGCGGTGAGGCCTTTCCAACCCCCGATACACACGAGGTCGTGGTCTTCTCTCATTTCTTTTATGGCGGATTTGCTCTTCCAACCTCAAAGTTCTTCCGTGGGATACTGAATTTCTATGGAATCAGCTTACATCATTTGAATCCGAACTCCATAGTCCATATTGCAAATTTCGTCCATGTCTGCGAAGCTTTTTTGGGCATTAGACCTCATTTTGCTCTGTTCCGCCGAATATTTTTCCTTAAGCCTCAACCGAACAAAAACAAACCATGCGTAGTTGGAGGGGCTGGATTTCAACTGAGGGGCACTCTGAGCCAAAAGTATTTCTCCATGCCTTTCAAGACTTCGAACAAAGGATGGCACGCCAACTGGTTTTATATTCAAAATCCCGAGCCCGCTCTTCCTGAGTACTCCTGTCTTCCCCCAGTATACCAAGATACATGGAACTCTCTCCCCATGGGAGATGAAGCTGCCCAAGCCTTAGAACTGATGGAACGCATGCTGAAACTCAAAGAGCAAGGCTTACAGGGAGAGCAAATCACTCGGCATTTCATTAAGTGCCGATTAGCTCCAATCAAAGAAAGATCCCGCACAGCATTTGAATTTGACGGCAAGCATGATCCAAACCGTGAAGACCCAGATTCTCTGGATTTTAAGATCATGAAGGAGAGGATGTACAAGATATTCTCGAACGCTATTGTCGTCAGCTACTCACATCAACTGCCAGTCGTACCATACAACGCATTCAATCCGCCTCCGCAGGTATGCATCTGAAATCTTCAACCCATGAGCAAAATAATATCTTGTCTTCATGTTGAGTTAACTAACCACGGAGGCATCTCATTCAGGAATATGTATTGATGAAATCTGATCCCCCAATTGCTCAGCGCCGATCTCCTCGCCAGCACACCATTCAAGGAAGTGGGGGGCCGACAATCAGGTCAGACCCACAACCTCAAACCTCCAAACCGGCTGGGCAGACAGGTCCTCGCAAGAGAAAGCTGGTGCTTAATGACGACGAGGGCGATGACAGCAACAAATCTGGGGACAAGGGCTCGCCCAACAAACTCCCAAAGCATACCATGCCCAGGAAAAAATTGGCTGGCCGTCAAATGCCAAAGATTAGAACATCTTCCAGGTATAAACCTCTCGATACCATTTTATTTCGGCATGCTTCTCTCATAGAAATTATGCTAAATATCGAAAGGACACTTTGCAGGAAACCGTCCGACATAGATCCAACCGGAAAAGACCCTGATCCGGCTGTGACAGAGCCAAATATATCCAAGGATGCTGAGCCGACTGCTGAAAGCCAGCTGACTGCCGAAAGCCAGCCGACTGGCGCCCATGCTTCGGATGACAAGGCCAATCCGAGTGACCAGCCGCCGACTGGAAACCAGTCGGCGACAACTGAAACTGCAACAACCCGAGAGCCCCCAACTGGAAACCAGTCGGATGTAGGTCCTGATCAAGAAATCCCTGAAGTTGAAGCGCAAGCGACAGCTTCTCAAGGACCAGAAGCTGGTAATGACTCGATGATTGGGTCTCCAGATAAAGAGCAAGGATCACCTCGCACTCAGCCAGGCACATCTTCAGGTAACTCATCTTCTCAAGTGATGCCGTTCTGAATAACTCCAGCTTGTTCGTCTAATGTCTTGGGAATACATCAGGTCCACTAGGCGACGACGAAGAAGAAATTCTCCGCATAAAGGCAGCTAATGACTCTCGTCCTCCTATCTTACTCAAATGGTGGGACGAGAACTCTCAAGTTTCCGGCATTGTTATAAATCGCCAAAAAGAAGATGAGGAAGTGTGCCAGCTGAAGAAAGTACTTGGAGAAGCCACTCGCATTGTGAATGTAAGTCTTCTAGGTGACTGCCTTTGATGACTTTGTTTTCTCGTTAGCAAAACTAATCCATGAACCACCGTGCAGAGAATCCATCTTCGTAATGAAGCCAAGACTGCAACCTTAGAAAAGCTGGTTCCACACTTGGGAACTCTTGAAGCCGTTAGGGAACAGCTACACGAGGCCAAGGAGCATGCCAAGAAAACGGAGAAGGAATTAAGGGAGCGAATTGCACAGCTCCAGGACTCCAACTTCGAGCTGAGTGGTTCATCAAAAGGTAATCTCTAGATCTGTCCCATTTGTGCTGTCATAACTGGATCCTCAAACATTTGGACTTCAAACAGCGCAAGCCACCAGGATGGCTCAAATGGAGAAGCAAATAGAAGCCTTGAAAAAAAACAAAGCAGAACTGGCTGCGGAAAGGGACTCAGCCTTGAAGGAGGTTGAAGGTACTGCCAACTGACAATTTGAACTTTCCTCTCTTGAATGCAGCAGATTCTTATTATAAATGTGTTTTGTAGACCGTAAAATCAAATCTCAAGCTCAGTTTGATGTCCTGGTTGGTAAGATCAAGAAGCTTGAAGGAGCAAGAGACGAAGTCGCCAATGTCGCTACACCACTTGTCCAAGCTATGTTCCTTAATAACAGTGGTCCGAGTGCACTTGACGCAACCGAAATCTTTGACAAGCTGAGAGTTGCACCGGATGTATACTTCAAGAATATCAAGAAAGCTGGAAGTATGGGAGCTAGTATGGCATTGGCGATGACCAAATCCTTGTACCCGAGGATTGAAATTGATACCATTGATGGCTTTGCAGACGGGACAAGTGAAGAAGCTGCTCTTGATCTTATCAGTAATGCTCAAAGTGCGGCTGACAAGATTGCAAGTGATGTTGTAGAGCAATTCCACAACAACGACCTTCAGCCGAGCAATAATAACTCTGATGATGAAAGGACTGATTCTGACTGAGTATAAATGTAGCAAATGGAGGCTCAATTTGTACAATACTGGTGTATTTATGCTGTGCTTGATAGTTCTAACCAAGTCTTTGATTTCTTAAAAGCTTTTATCAAGCTTTGTTGAGCCTAAAACCCAAAGAAGCTATTAAAAACTTTCAGTCCTCGCAGACTATGTAGAAAAAATCAAACAAGGCAATGATAGACCAAGTAAGCAAATTAAATTGATAAAAAATCACACTCCATTATTATGATGATAGCCCCCGACTGACAACGGCAAGAAGAAAACTTGGTGTTGACAGTCAAAATAGGGAAATACAATGATAAGCTTAAGCATAGAAACGGCGAAGATGTTCAATATTCCAAGAGTTGTCGACGAGAGTACCGTCTTCGCGCTTGAGTCGATAGGAACCTGGCCGGGTAACTTCAGAGATGATAAACGGCCCCTCCCATAAAGGAGATAACTTGTGCCGATCTCGTGTAGTTTGAATTTTCCGCAAAACCAGGTCGCCGACTAAAAAGGCACGGGATCGAACATTGCGATTATGATAACGCCGCAACCCTTGTAAGTATCGAGCCGACCGAATCAAAGTTTGGTCAGGCCGCCGCTAGACTTCAACGAAGTAATTAACAGCAATCAGCAAGTGGCCTAATTGCCAACCTAGATGATGCGACATTCCAGCAGCAATTAAGTGGCCTCATCCTCCCAGCAGTAAGGATATGATTGGAGCAGTTTTTGCGAATTAGTCTTTTTATTCAAAACAAATTCTAGAAATGGACCACTAGCAAAACATTTTGCTGAAATGCATCATTCAAAATAGCACGAAGACGTGTATTTGGGAAGTTGGGAATATTAAAATAAAATCATTGTGGTCTGTCTGTAAGATACGTTGAAAAAGAGGCACACTAACTAGTACAAAGGATTATGCGTGACGAGCTGGATTATAATAAGCTAACATAAAATAAGCTGACATAAAATAAACTGTGAGTTGATTATATTTTTTATTATTGAAGGTATTTAGGGGTAGTGGGTCTTTAGTCACCCAATAATATAAAGAAATCTCCTCTAGAGGAGATTATTAGATTATATTAATCTGGCTTATCTATTATAATAACCTATCATAATAATCTACTTGTTTATTACAGTTACTCTTAACAATCCAGATTATAATAATGCTAATCTGAGTCTAGCTAACTCTCAGCCTCATGTATAGATATATCTATCTCCTAACTCAACATTTCCATTCGGCTCTCGCTCCTTTTCTTGGCGCTTATATTTTTCTTTTCACATCAAACTAGCTTCTCAAGCTGTTTAGCTACATAGAATTTTTTTTCCTCTGTACTCTCGGATTACTGATTTTCAGCTTGGACAAGTACTGCTTTTCTTGATCTTTTGCTTTACATGGAGGAATTATAGTTTTTCTCCATACTATCCCTAATAATCATATCTCATCTTCCAATAGGAGGGTATTACTATTGATTCTGCATCTCTCTTCTACCCGCTGCAACAATTTGAAGCTAGTAAACTGTTCAGTTTACAGGTCCCCTTGACTGTTACAGGTATGCATCGTTTCATCAAATTTGTACATATGATTTTCTTATTTACCTCAAGCCTCAAGGTGTGTTATACAACACAATTCCTAGATTTTCTATATGCATATGTCCACAGAAAAGATAATACTGGTCATATGTTTGTTTTTTACGTCTGGTTAAACAAACAATCCTAGAAAAACTATTATTATAGGCGGTCAATAATTCATTTGCACAAGTTTAGCTAACCAGCATGTAGAAATTAAATAATTTGTATTGGAGGATTCCACAACGGTATGTGGATATCAATTTCCAGTTCTATTAAGAACCCACCCACGGAAATGAATTTTCAACTTTTTGTTAATGTAGGCGAAAGAAAAACACATTTTACCAGGCAACTATACACTGTCACTGGTCGCAAATACGAAGTCACAGTGATTTCTTACACGAAATATGCATTTTATCAAAAGTCACAGGTCGCAAATCAGAAGTCACTAATACCTATTTCATATTACAAATATTTTAAAATGGAATTATCACCAATAACAAAGTTGTTGATCTCGGCCAGCTCTTTAGTTTTTAATATAGGGCATATCTCCCGCTGAGGCTGTTTGAAAACTTTTTTTAAAAAAACATTTTTAGAGTTGTTTCTATTTCTAGACACGGTTTGTTAGGTTAGCCGTCAGCACTAATCATTTATTCCGTTAGTTTTTCAGAGGTTCTCCCGTGGAAACAAGTTGCTTTAAAATATTAAATAAATCTATTTTTCAAGTTTCATATAATTAAAACTTACTTAATCCAGTGCTAATGATTTTCTCGTTTTTGTTCGCACTTCTCTCCGGATCAAACGTAGCTAATAGTGTAGACAGTTAGTTACAGGGTCTGCCTGTCAAAACCGTTACTCATTATTTGAAAATGCCAAAACTTTGAAAATTGATAGAAATTTGATTTTAAGTCCAGTATTAGTGAATCAAAGTTCTAGCTCTCAACAAGATCTATCTCTTTGAGACTGTATAGAGTCCAAATATTCGTTATAAGCTCTTAGATCTATATTTGGAAACAAATTTATGAATTTTTTGAATGCCCTTAAATGGAGATGTGTTCTGTAATATGTATTGAATTTGTAAAGCTCGATGAGATTCTACAACTTTATAACTTTACTGGTGATAATTTTTTATTTGATGTCATTTATCCTCCCAAATATGCTAAATGACATGAGGTAAGGTTATGAGAGGTAATCCTCTTTACCGCCCATGTGCATGCTTCACGTGAAAAATTGCGTGACTCGTTGTTTTGTGAAATGTGAATTATTTTATTGGTTTTTTTTTCATACAACATTTAAAAACTAGAAATACATTTTTCTCACGTGACTGGAATTTATCTGTACAAAATCGTTGATTTCTACTTGTCTTAGTCATAGGCGGTTGGCTAAACGCCTGTAGGAATAATGGGTTACCGTCTTACCGACCTCCTATACAATTTTTTTATGTACCAATCATTATTTCGACTATTCTTCCTGAACTGGAGCTAGGTTATACTAAAATGATAATTTATTTAACAGAAAATAGTAGTCACTATAAATTGATATGTTCCAAGTTGATAAAACTACATTCATTTTTGTTTTTTATTAAATTATACTCCTTGTATCCCAAATAAGGTTTAACCACTTTTTACTTATGTCTCATCATATAAGACAGGCAGGCATGCATACATTAATTATCACCTCTTAGTTCTTTAAATTTGGTTTACTTTAAATTCTCCACCATTAAACCCCCAATCACATTGTTTGCATGTATGGATGTGATCCAATCAAGGAGGTGATTAAATTCTTTCTTGTTCTTTGTGGTAGTAGTGGTTGAGCCTTATACTTTTAGATGGAGAGAATAAATATATACTATAGGCACCATTAGTTTTTTTTTGTCTGTACTATGTTCCACATTTTTCTGTAACTCTATGGACCGAATCGTCTTCACGCTTGAGTCGATATGAACCCGGCCGAGTAACTTCAGAGATGATGAAAGGTCCCTCCCATAAGGGAGATAACTTATGTCGACCCCGTGTAGTTTAAATCTTCCTCAAGACCATATCTCCGACTAGAAATGCACGTGATATGACATTGCGATTATGATAACGACTGAATTAATGTTGCCTCACGAGCTTCTTCCAATTGGTTGAGATCATCCACTCGGTCTTCCTCGTAGCGTTCCTCTTTAACATTGCGAAATCTCATGGACTCAAACTCCACTTCGCTTGGCAACATTGCTTCTACTCCGTAAACTAAGAAAAACGGCGACTAGCCCGTAGCCCGACTGGGCGTAGTGCGCAAAGACCAAAGTACTGACGGCAGCTGCTCAACCCATTTGCCAGCATAGGGACGCAGTCGGTTAAAAAACCGTGCCTTGATGCCTTGAAGTACCACACCATTGGCGTGTTCAACTTGACCATTGCTCATAGGATGCGCTACAGAAGCATAACATATCTTGATACTAAAGTCTTCACAAAAATCTTTAAAAACTCCACCAGTGAATTGGGTACCATTATCTGTAATGATTCGATTCGGCACCCCAAACCGATGCACAATGTTGATAAAGAAGTCTCGAGCTTTGTTGGCTGTAATAGTTACAACTGGTTTGGCTTCAATCCATTTGGAGAACTTATCAACAGCCACAAAAAGTTGATTAAATCCTCCGGTAGCCCTTTTGAAAGGACCAACCATGTCAAGCCCCCAAACCGCAAATGGCCAGGAAAGAGGGATGGTTTGCAACTCTTGGTCCGGCAAATGAATTTGCCTAGCAAAAAATTGACAACTTTCACACGTTCGCACAACCTTCTCGGCATCAGACACCGCTGTAGGCCAGAAAAAACCCTGTCGATATGCTTTGCCGACTATCGTTCGTGCTGCCGCATGATTTCCACAAATGACAGAATGAATATCTTACAACAATTGCCTACCTTCTTCTAGAGAAATATAGCAATGTAGGATTCCAGATGGACTCTTTTTGTATAAATCGGCCTCAATCATGACATAAAGCTTGTTGTGTCGAGAAATCCGCTCGGCTTCATTCTTGTCTTGAGGCAACTCTTGCTGAGTTAGAAATTTGATGATTGGCTCTCTCCAGTCGGCATCAATTACTCCTACTTCATTAGCCTCTCCATCTCCGACTTTATCCTTTCTTGATACTGTCAGCTCATAGAGATGCTCGACAAAAATATCAGAAGGAGCTGCTTCTCGTTTTGACCCAAAATTAGCTAATCTATCGGCTGCTTCATTGTTGTGTCTAAGCACATGAGTTAACTCTCGACCATCAAATTTATCTTCCAATTTGCGGACTTCTTGTCGATATGCAACCATATTGTCGTCGAGACAGGACCAATCTTTCATGACTTGATTGACAACCAACTATGAATCACCACGAACCACTAGATGTCAGATCCCTAGGGATACAACAATCTTCAGCACATGGAGTAACGTCTCATACTCTGCCACATTGTGGGATGCAGAAAAGTGTATCCACAGCACGTAGCTTAACCTTTCTCCAGTCGGAAAAATCAAAACGACCCCTGCTCCGGTGCCCGATAGTCTCTTTGACCCGTCAAAATGCATAGTCCAATACTCCAATTTCTCCACAGGTGTGTCTTCTTGACACTCGGTCCACTCGGCAACAAAATCTGCTAGTGCTTGAGATTTGATTGAAGTTCGCAGCTTGAAAGATAAATCCAAAGACATCAACTCCAAGGCCCACTTCGCAATACGTCCAGTTGCCTCTCGATTATGAAGTATGTCACCAAGTGGAAAAGATGTGAGCACCGTGATCGAGTGACTCTGAAAATAATGGGATAATTTCCTGACGGTAATTAAGACACCATATAATAATTTATGTACCTGGGGATATCTTATTTTGGAGTCGGCCAAGACCTCGCTAACGAAGTAAATTGGTCGTTGAACTTTTTGAACATGGCCGTCCTCTTCTCGCTTGACAACCAAAACCGTGCTTACCACTTGCGATGTTGCTGACACATAAAACAACAATGGCTCTTGCGGGTGTGGTGACGCTAGGATTGGTGGAGTTGAGAGAAATCTTTTGAAATCATTGAAGGCTTGCTGAGCTTCGGGTCCCCATTGTAAATTGTCAGTCTTCTTGAGCAGTTTGAAGAAGGGCATCCCTCGCTCGTCAAGTCTTGAAATAAACCGACTGAGCGCCGCCATGCATCCAGTTAGCTTCTGAACGTCTTTCTAGGAACTAGGCGGTTTCATGTTGAGGATGGCATTGATTTTCTCCGGGTTGGCTTGTATGCCCCTATGGGACATCATAAAGCCAAGCAGCTTCCCTGACGGTACTCCGAAGGTACACTTTTCAGGGTTCAACTTCATCCTGAAAGCACGGATGCTAGCAAAGGTTTCCTCCAAATCAGCAATTAAGTCATCCTTCTGCTTGGTCTTGATGACTACATCATCAACTACATCATCTGAGTTGAAAAACATCTCTGGATTATGTGTTGATAAGTTGCTCTAGCATTCTTCAATCAAAACGGCATGGTAATGTAGCAGTAAGCTCCAAATGGTGTGATGAATGAGGTCTTCGAGCAGTTGGATTCCTTCAACCTGATCTGGCGGTATCCCGAGTAGCAATCCAAAAATCTGAGTAACTCGCAGCCGGTTGTTGAGTCAACTACCTGGTCAATGCGAGGTAACCCAAAAGAATCTGTAGGATATGATTTGTTGAGATCTGTATAGTCAACACACATGCACTATTGTTCTATTTTCTTCCGAACTAAGACTGGGTTTGCCAGCCATTCGGGATGTAAGACTTCTTTGATGAAGCCTGCCGCTAACAGCTTGGTTAATTCTTCCTTGATTGCATCCTTCCTATCCTGAGCGAATCGGCGGAGTCGTTGCTTAATAGGTTTAGCATCGTCTTTGACATTTAAAGAGTGCTCAATCACCTCTCTAGGAATACTAGGCATATCAGATGGTTTCCACGCAAAAATATCTTTATTAGCTTAAAAAAAGGTGATGAGCGCGCTTTCCTATTTACAATCTAACTCGGCGCTTATTACAGCAATTTTAGATGGATTAGATGGATCAAGGGGGATCTTTTTGGTCTTGGCATCGCCTTCTCCGGAAAAGCTTGAAGGTTCATCACTGACAGATAGCAAGAGATTGCTACAATCGACAGGTCGACAACTAGAAGTAGGCATCTCTTGATCACCTGAAGGCAACTGGTGAGAGATCGCTACAACCGCTGGTCGACAACTAGTAGTAGGCATCCCTCGATCACATAAAAACAACCGAAAGGTGGCGAGAGATCGCTACAATCGGCTGGTCGTCAATCAGGAGTAGGCATCTGTCGATCACTTGAAGGCAACTGATAGGTGGCAAGAGATCCCTACAATCGGCTAGTTGACAACCATGAGTAGGCATCTCTCGACCACCTGAAAGGGTGCTAGTGTTGGCTATTATATGTGCATCTCATGTAGCCAGCATGACTCACATACCCAACTTATAGCATACCCGGATGTCCGTTCGCAATCATGTCAGGTGATCAAGCCGACAACGTTTGCGAGGAATTATCCGTTAACAACCTATTCTCAAATAGTGCAGCCGTGGCCTGCACTATACGTGAGATAAGTCGTTAATCTTTGCTGGTAGGATTGGTCCGACAACTCCGCATTTGTCGAGAATGTTCTCGATAATGAGTTGTACTCGACCACAACCTACTCTAGTGCTCAATTGTTTCTGAAAAATATTTTCTATAAGAAAAGACATATATGGCAGAGAATATCGAGTACGTACTAAAAAAAACTGCATGAATCTTCTAGTATTATCAGGATATAACTGGCAGATTCAGATTAAATATCGCGTACTATGTAAACGTAAACAAGCATGACTTATAACATGAACATAGCGAGCCCCCAATATTAGACCATAGTTAGTCTAGTATAGGAAACACTCGCACAATAGATATCGTATAAAAAACATGCTCTAGGTAAACAGAATAAGTTATGGATCTGACAATATCGCATCGAACTGAAAAATAGGTACATTAAATTGTTTATAAAATATTACGTACCTTTGTAGATAATTGCCATATGTATCTACGAAATTAGTAGATTAATTTAAAAAATCAATCTACCAATTACCTTGATGCGTAATCGTTCGACATCATATATATTTGAAATCTTCTGGTACGGTGCGTGCCTAGGACCTTTGGATGATCTCGATAGATCAAATGGTTGGCGATGACGATTCCGAGCTAGTTGGGGGGCGTACTCTGGCCGGGTCAGATCTCCCAAGGTGAAAGTCGTTGAAGTATCCCTCGTTGAAAAATCCACGGTGGCAATGACTTGATGAAGCTTTAGGTGACGAGGGTCCTGATACGTCATAGAACACACTTCGTTCGGGTCGTATACCCCTACAGCCAAAGTCGTCGAGTAATTTATTGTCGGAGAATCCATCTCTTGAACCTATCTCGCCGAAACCTTGAAGCACCAAAATCCCCTACCTGGCGCGCCACTGTCGATGTTGTAGATCACGACTACGGTATTTGCATAGTATGGGGATCGTTGGTGCCAGATTGTGCGCGAGATTGAGGTAAAAGATACGAAGACAAGGATTTTTATACAGGTCCGGGCCCCTTAACTAACAGGTAATAGCCCTACTTCTGTTGGTTGAAGCCAGTGTTGCTCTTATCCATCAGAGTCACACAAGTATAATATTTGGGATAGCCTATCCAGTTGTCGTCAACTCGGCGGCATGAACCAACACTCTTAGTCGACGACAGGGTAGTCTTCCTCCTCGAATATGGACTTGGCGAGATTAGAGATAGTGCTAGATCTCACTTGATAGCCCCCGCAGCAACATATTGGGTTTGTCTAGGTTCATCTTCGATGTCGTTATCTGGCGGCGTGTATTTGTGTCTATTCTGGCTGAGCGTGTTGATCTGTCTTGGCTTGTCTTGGTCCGTGTCCTCTCTCTCCTCCTAGGGGTCTTGTATTTATACCCACAGATATTCTCTTGTCCAAGTAGTACTAGAAAGACAAATATGGATGCGATCCAAGTAGTCCCTGTAGTTTCCATGTAGAACTATGCTTCTCCTCTCTTATCCGGAGCACATTCCGTATGCGAGGCATGATTCCGTATATGACTTGCTACATAGTGAGTCCTGCCGAGCATAACCCAAGACTATTGGGTATGTCTTACCCATAACACTGTAGTTTTGTACGAAGTTATTTTCATGTTTTTTCAACCTGCTAAGGCTACTTCATTGATACTTATGTAAGGGAAATCTTATTTTCTTTATAGTTTATAGAAAGATACTTTTCTGGAGCAGAACTGCAATGCACTGCAAACTCATTGTTTAGGAATCTGAGTATACATATGTTGCCCAGAGTGACTTACCTTGGAACATGTTATATCTGCAGGTGTGCATAATTAAAAATGGCACAAATTTTGGGTGGTCTAGTCAACATTGTTGTAACACCGATCTATAATGCTATATTCAAACATGCATTGTATCCATTCAAAGTTACCAGAAATGTGGAGAATCTCGAGAAGGCTACAAAGAAATTGATTGCTAAACGTGATGATGTTGAGAACAAGATTAGTAACGATGAGAGAAGCGGCATGAGAATAAAAAGTGAAGCAAGAAGATGGTTGGAGGACGTCAATACCACCATATCTGAAGAAGCGGATATTAATCAGAAATATGAAAGCAGGGGAATGACTTTCGGCGGATGCTCCATGAATTGCTGGTCAAACTACAAAATCAGCAAGCGTGCATCGCAGAAGCTCCTTGAAGTGAAGGAGCATTATATAGCTGATATGAGTGTCGTTGGAGATCAACCATCGCCAGAACCTGTTCAAAAGATCCCTATTCCCTGTGATCATGTAATGGACAATGATAACAATCTTCGTGAAGCTCTGGACTATATCAAGAACGATCCAGTTGGGATAATTGGGATATGGGGTGTAGGTGGAGTTGGCAAGACCCATCTCCTGAACAAGATCAACAATTCATTTCTTGGGGACTCTTCCTTTCATTCTATCATCTATGTTATTGCCTCTAAAGAGTGTTCTGTGCAGAAGATCCAAGCTGAGATTGTCAAGAAACTTAACCTACGGAAAGATGACGATGTAAAATTCCAAGCCCACATCATTTCTGAATTTCTCGACGGAAAAAATTTTCTGTTATTGTTGGATGACCTCTGGGAGAGGATTGATCTTCTGGAAGTTGGCATACCAACACTAGGAATTGAAAACAACCTCAAGAGGAAGGTGGTCCTCACAACAAGATCACAGGATGTATGTGGTCAAATGGAGGTGAGGAAACAGATAAAAGTTGCTTGTTTACGAGATGAGGAAGCATGGAAACTATTTCTGGAGAAGGTCGATGAAGAAACTCTCCCTTCCAGTTCTCTAATTGAACTTGCAAAACAAGTAGTGAAGGAACTCAAGGGCTTGCCATTGGCTCTTGTAACTGTCGGAAGGGCAATGTACGCCAAAAGGGACCCGGTGCTATGGGAGCATACCATTGATTACATGAAAGGGGCATGTCGTGATAAGGACGGTCCCCTCTCTATGGAAACTGTTTTCAGGCAACTTAAGTTCAGTTATGATAGTTTACGGAATGACACCCTGAAACGTTGTTTCTTGACTTGTGCATTGTGGCCAGAGGATGTGTTCATAGCTACAGATGAACTCGACCAATGTTGGATGGGCTTAGGTCTGGTGGACAAGGATGATATACAAAGTTCCTACAGAGAAGCATGTAACGTAAGAAGTGAACTTCAATCTGCCTGTTTGTTGGAGAGCTGGCATACTTCTCGTGTAATCACAATGCATGATGTGGTTCGTGACATGGCTCTATGGATCTGTTGCGGTTGCAGTGAAAAGAACGACAACTGGGTTGTCCATGCACAAGTTGGCAAAAATTTATCAAGAAGAACCATCCCATGGAGCAAAGCTGAATGCGTCTCCTTGATGTGGAATCGCATTGAAGAATTGCCTCCCATGGATTCAAATTATTTTCCCGCAAAACTCAGGACATTATGTCTTCAAGGCAATCGTTTGGATGGAAGGATAGTTGAAACTCTTAAGAATTTCACTGCACTCACATATCTGGATTTATGCTCGAATTCCCTCACTAACATACCAGGGGAGATATGTGCCTTGGCCAATTTGGAGTATCTCGATTTGGGATATAATTCAGGAATATGCGAAGTCCCCACCTGCTTTAGAGAACTCAGTAAGCTCAAATTCTTGTATCTGTCATGCACTAACGTATGGAGAATTCCAGAGGATGTCATATCTAGCCTTAAAGCACTGCAGGTCATAGACTTGACGCCAAAACCCAAACCTTGGAATCGGTACGGTAACAGAGAAAACCACGCGGATCATATGCCTTCAGTAGTACTAATCCAAGAGTTAACCAAACTAAGTAAGTTAAAAGCAGTTGGCATTACTGTTGAAAGTGTTTCTAGTTATGAAGCACTTAAGGAATATCCTAACCTACCTATTAGGAGACTTGTTCTAAATATAGAGGAACGAGAGTCAGTGTTCTATCTACTGACTGGTCCTTTGTCAGATCACTTGGCTCAAATGACCTTACATAAGTTGGAAATTTATCGCAGCAGCATGGAGGAAATAATAATAGAGAGACACGAGAGTGGTGGCCATTTGGAACAAAACTATAGTTTTGACGCTCTGAATCAGCTGGACTTACAATTTTTGGAAAACCTGAAAGTTATTACGTGGAAAGGAATACGTCCGGAATTGCTTTTCCATAGGCTCACCGTTCTGTATACCATTGACTGCGACCAGCTGGAAGATATCTCGTGGGCGCTGCATTTACCTTTTCTGGAAGAACTATGGGTGCAAGGTTGTGGCAAGATGAGACATGCCATTCGGAACATATCAAAGCAAGAGAGCTCAATGCAATCGATTGATACATTCCCGCGCCTCGTTTCTATGCTATTTGCAAATAACGATGGGTTGGTCAGCATATGTGATTCAGATGTGACATTCCCATCCCTAAAGAGCCTGAGGGTCACAAATTGTGAAAATCTTAAGAGGCTTCCTTTTCGGCGGCAGCAGAGCTTGCCACCCAAGTTGCAGGTTATATACTCCGATAGTGTTGAATGGTGGGATAATCTTGAATGGGAAGAAGAAGGTATCAGACCAATGCTGGAGCCCCTTCTTAAAATCGTGTCATAATGATTACGCTGAGCAGTCCTGTGATGTGTTTCATCCATGGTTAGTATCTCCCCCCGTCTCTCTCCATCTTGTACATATGCTACAAATTATCGCAGAACAAGTTGTTGTAATTAGGGACTTGAGACGCGACCCCCGCGTCGTTCTCGCGCGGGCGGCTCGGGGGCGAAACCCTAGCCGCCCACGCCGCCACACCCTCATCCCCCTCCTCCACCTCGCCGCCGCTGGAACTCGCCGGCGGCAAAGCCGGCGGCGTGCCGAGAAGGCGGCGGCGTGGCCCAAACGGCTCGGCGGAACCGGCCCCTGCGCGAGTAGGACGGAGAACGCCGACGATGGCGCGGCCGGAGGTGGAGACGGCGGTTCGACTTGGGGCGGCGGATCCGGCGCCCCTATGGCCGGATCTGGCTTCCCCACCCACGGATCCGGTCGGCGCGGTGAGCGGCGCGACGGAGGCGGAGTGGGCGGCGAGCGGCGCGTGCGTGCCCTGCCGGCGCGGCGCGCGGCGTGGGCGTGCCCTGCCGGCGCGGCGGGCGGCGAGACGGGCAGCGCGACGGACGCGGTGTGGGCGGCGGGGGGCGCGACGCGGGCCCTGGCCAGCGCGGCGGCGACGCGGGTTGGGGTTGCTGCGGCGACGGCGCCTGCTCCTGCTCTGCCTCGTGCCCCCGCCCGGTGTCGTTGTCGGATGGCGTGTAGGAGGAAGGCGAGGCCAGCGGGCAGGGCGAGGCGGCGGCCGGTGGTGTGCGAGGTGGTGCTGGCCAGACACGCGGCCTTGGCCCAATGGCCGGTGGCGTGAGACTGTGGAGCTGGTGCGCGAGGAGCAAGTCGGCGGTGGTGACCGGGTCATCAGGTGGCTGGCTGCCATTGGTGACCTCAGTGGCTTTCGGCAGCACGCAGGAAGCGGTTTGGCAGTGAAGAGTTCATCCTCTGTATTGCCAGCTTGACCTGCGGGGTGGTAGACTGAGCTTGGGTGTTGAAGGGATGGCATGGTGGTCCGGCGATGGTCGTTGTGCAGGATAGTTGTGTGGGGTTTTGATGGGAAACCGCTGGCGAAAGCCTTGCCAGGCCATGGGCCAGCATGACGACGGCGACGCCATTTGGCGCCGTTCCCCTCCTTGGAGGTGTCGTCCTGGCGTTGACCCCTCATAACACCAAGAACCCTCTGCGCGCAATGGTAGCCTTGGTGGACTCCTGCAATGTCCCCGAAGCTCTTCAGGTCTAGGGTGTTTGACGAGGCCTCACTTCCTTGGCTTCGTTCCTTGCTACAGCGGGTGTTCATCACTCTTATCTGGTTACTGTGGGGTAGTGTCGGAGCTGCTTTGCTGGGGACGAAGCTTGGCAACGATGACACACTGCAATCTCTTTATAGGATTGCTGATGCTAGCTGTGTGTAGGAGTGGTTCCTTGGTAGCTTGGGCTGATGTCCTTCGTGGGTGTCGTTCTTGTTTGTTCATTTTGGCGTTAGGATAGCATCGCATTGAAGTCGAAGCTGTTGTGTCACTTGGGTGGCAAGCTTGGCAACGATAACATGTGTAGGCTGCCGTGTCATCTCAATTGGCAAGCTTGGCCGATGCCTTGTGTCGGGCTCTGTCGTGGTAGCTTAGGATAGGTTAGCTGTTGGTGTGGTGTTGTAGTTGTGGTTTTCGCTCAGTTTTCCCTAATTAACTGAGCACTGTAAGGTTTGATCCCGTTTTCTCCTCAAAATAGGATATCTTCTTCTTAATATAAAACGTCGGCAATGGCCTGACCGTTCGAAAAAAAAAGTTGTTGTAATTAAGTAATTAATTAGGATAGTTAAGGACACCTACCATGATTGGCACAATGAGGGCACATCAGACTTTCTTAGTTGCGTGTGCCGTATATTTGATATGCACAAAACTAGGATGTGCCACACGGATTGTTAAGTACGTGCTACTATGTGTTTTAGAGAAAGAATGTCATATCTTTGTAATTTGATCTGTTTGTCAGTACTAGTACAAGATGACAAATACCATTGTGCATTTGTGCTTGACGTGCATACATTCAGAACTAACAAAATCATTATGTACATTTATTTTTCTAAACAACAAGGGGTTTCATTTTAGCTGAAAAAGCTACATGCTCAATGCGGTTATGAACAGGGAAAGACAGTTCAATTTTTTTTTTTACCTCTCAAGTAGTAGAGAGACGTATATACCTCTCGAAGAAACTTAACCTTTTAATTTTTATCATCTTGGTTAAAAACAAAAAATGTTTGAACTCATCAAAACATAAGCCAACATTGAACAAAATTTATTTGTATGGGCGTGTGTGAATAGAAGAAGAATACACGTCAGGTGTCTGATGACTATTCTTAAAATTAGAAAGGTAGCCCGCGCATTCGCGTGGGCATGTATCGTATGTTCCGCTTGAGACACTTAAAGGAGAGGAATATTAACCGGAAAACACGTGCCATACTTTAGAAGTATGCTTGCTTCAGAAATTTTCTTGTTGGCATTGCTGAGATAATTTTCTAACCTATTAGTGTTGTTCTAATTATCTAAGGCAATTATTATGCAATGGTTAATGCAATAGTTGTTTCAAAGTTTATAGCACTTCACAAATGGCAAAAGATCATTTTCCTTGCTCAGATTATTTGAGCACATTACTTTTAAAAAGCTCATGAAGCAATCAGATTGTTTTATCTATCTGGTCTTTATGTAGCGGCTTGGACTATTCAAATGTGAGTCAGTTCTTTTGTTTATATAGTGTATATCTAATTTAGTTATTGATGGGTGTTCTCAAACTATTTCATATTTTTTATAGCAATTCAGATAACATGTAACGGGGCAGTGATGTTTCTCCCTCTAAATAATTATGTACTGGCTTGGACTATCCATATTCGAGCTATTTGTTTCTTAGGTACTATATATCCAATTTAGTTATTCATGTTTGAGAAATAATATTGGTGCAACAAGTGTAGTTGAAATATTTTGTAGCTTTTTATGGCAATTTGGACAACATGTAAAATGGCAGGTGTTGTCCATCGATAAAAAAATATTATTTCATACTTGAATTTATAATTTGTGTTTCAACACCATTAATTTTGCTTTAGCTATCTATATTTATGGAATAATATATAGAATGACATAGTATATATTGATAGTTTTTATCGTATTTCGTTGCTATTTGGATGACATGTAAAATGCATGGATCGACTATTTCTGAGTGATATATTTCTAATATAGAAAAGTATAGGCATATGGACCTTCAATTATTCATCTAATTATAAATAGAAAAATAGTTATAATAGAAATTAGACATGTACCTTAAAATTTATTGTCGTTTTAAAATGTACAACTATTTATTGTGCTTCTCTTCTAGTTTGATAGCTAAATAATTGAAAGGGGGAGAGGAAATAGATCCGTCGATAATGGTTGAAAAATAGATGTAATTTACATGGAAGCTGATGGTATGTGGTTTCACTTTTATTCGTTGGATCTTTTCTAATTTTGAAAACATGGCGCGTTATGATTTAAGAGTGTTTTATAGGGCGTTTAACATATCTTTATTATTATTATTATTATGTAGAATGATTTAAGATGATATAATACATATTGATTTTTTAAAATATTTGATTGTAATTTGGTTATAATGCTGATAGGGGGTCTATGTTGTATTTTAATTCTGACATGTGGTGATTTATAGTACTTTTGAGGATATTTAATGAACAATTAATGGAATTTTATTACGTAGAATGATTTAAGATGATATAATGCATATTGTCAATTTTTTTAGTGTTCCATTCATATGTAGTTACTATGCAAAGGATAGGATCGGGGTATCTATGACGTATTTCAAATTTCACAAAGTAACATATATGTAATATAGATCTTGAATTATTTATTTAATTATAAATAAAGTAACAATTAATATATATATATATATAATTGATCATTTAGCTATGTAACTATTAATTTTTTAATATATTTTGTTGTTAATTTGAAAATAGTAGAGGAGATAATTGAATGGGAGTTGAGAGGAGGGAAGGGAGATGGCAGTACATGAATATGGCAGGATGAGGTAGTGCATCAATTTGTTTTTTTCTTCAAATGTATTTATTGGGACACTGGTAGAGGAAGCGGGGGAAATATTTGTAAATGGATGTGCTGTTTCAGTTATTTAAACCTAATAAAGGGAGTGATTGTTAGCACTATTTTGACTGAGAAAGGCCTAAAAAGACTATAGCCCTTCTTTGTTTAAGGTTAGGCTTATTGGTTTAGGCTTTTATGTTAGTTTACTGGCTTATATGATTTATAGCCTAAGGGTTGAATGTCTATCTCACATAAGCCAAACAAGAACTTCTCCAACTTAGCTATTAGATTTTGGCTTAATTGTAACACCCCAGGTAACCACGTACCTAGAGTGCCACACCAAAAAACACTCAAACCACTAACTTCCAAAATTATTAGAAATTTTGGCAGAGTCTCCCCTATAAATACAGACATCCACAACAGGCAATTATAAGTTGAACTAATAGCAATATCATTCCCATAATACGATCCATCCTTATAATCCATGGGGAAGAAACTATTAGAAATCTAAAAGATTATTACAAGACCAAACCAGGATATAATTTAAGTGTCATTATGGACCTAAGCAATATAGTTTGATAGTGTTCAAGTAGATGTGTATATAGGGGTGCTACTTCCCGCCCATACATGTCGGTCTCAATGCGTACCTAAAACCAAATAAAACACAAGAGTGAGCATAAAATACTCAGCAAGTACAGTATGGAACTAGAAAACACATATACACATCATTGACAATAAAGCATGAACATAAGGCTTTCTTTCTTTGATAGGAAACACATTTTCAAACACCAAGTCAAAGAAGATAGTAGTTCCCATCCCGGGCTGGCATGAATTGAAATAGTAGTTTCCATCCCGGACAATAGTGAATACATCCTAGCATTTGCCGGCAAAGCCGAGTAAGCGTGATCAGCGCTTACCCACAGGAACTTGAATAAAGAACCAAATTGCATTCCCATGACTACGCATGGTACTTGAATAATTGAAACCAGAATCAAAGAACCAAATTGAAACACATCCATGGCAACCAGGGAACTTGAATTATTTAAACAGAACCAGAATCAATATTATTAAAACAAGAATAACATCGTACGCATAAGATCAACTTGAAATCTAAATGGCGTGAACAATAATATGAACATAAGCAGTTACTTATCACGTTGAAATATATCAGAAATAAATAGATAGAGTAAACAATCCATGAATCACACAATTAGTTCGTCATGCAGTTGCCTCCAACAAAGGATTGGTATCATGCACGATCTGATGCACCACCACCTAATCACAAACAAAACCTTAGCAAACACATATTCAAACATGCGTGTAAAATAATGAAAAAGGTGAACCTACTGCCCCATCCTATCAAAACTCAATAACTAGGAACGCCGCTTGGACTATACACAAAACTGCTGCTTCAAACCTTTATATCTTGAAATATGAAAAGGCTATGACTGAAAATGTATACATTTTGAAAATCTACAGAACAATACCTACAACTTTCATGTAGAAAGCATATTTTTATTCTACCATTTAAATCGACTAATATGCGCTTGAAAGCAGGCTTCAGAATCTGTCTAGAATTTCAGACTGTCCACACTAAAACAACCATAACTGGAGTTCTACTTGCCCAATCAGGGTGTACTTTACCAATATGGAAAGCTAAGAAAAACCTCTACAACTTTGTCTAAAGGCGGCCTGGCTGATTCCACTGTTTAACCCCTCCAAAAACAGTTCAATCTACTAGTATCCAGATTATGACAAAAAACAACAGTCATACTAAAAAAATTATATCTCCTAAACCACTTGAGATAAAATCACGCCCTTTGGCTAGAAGATATATCCAAACATTATCTACAACTTCCTAGTTATACACTTTCACAGAAAATAACATTTAGAGCCCCGAAACATCGAAATACTGAAACACTGCAAATCTGCCCACATGCAGAACTGCAACAAACCGAACCACAACTACCCAAACTCCTTCTCTAGCCTTCCCTAACTACAAATTAATGCACTAAAGCCATGCTAGAACAACTGATACAACAAGGAGATAAGTCTCACCTATAGTTTCTTTAGAGAACTTGTGAGGAGACAATACGGGAGACTCCGGTCTAACCCCTCCTTCTACTCCTCTCCTCCTCCTCGTTCCGTTTTTCTACTTCGCTTCTTGATCCAAGCTATGAAGGTGGAGATCTAGGGAGAGCAATTTGCTGTAGATGGAAGGAAGGGAGGAAGGAGGCGCGGGCCAGGGTGAGGGGTGGCGGCACTATGAGGGGAGGTGGATTCGGTTCCTCTCTCTAGGTTTTAGGGGGAGAACTAATGGGCTGGGTTTATGGGCCTTCTCATGTTGGCCCACTTCTAAAAATATTTTTCTTTTATTTATTTCTGTTAACATCTTTATTTTAACAAGTCAACCCAAACTAAAAAAACCTAAATATCTTTTAATATACGGGGTATTATATTAATAGTGTTAGAGTGGTTTATGGCTTAAAAAAACAAACGAAAACACTGATTGTTTGTTTAGGCCCGGATTTTTTTCTTATAAGTTTGCTTATAAGCCTAAACAAAGAGGGTCATAATATGGTTGCTGTGATAATTTTTAAACTAAAATATAATTAATATGTGACACAATATTTTTTTAATAAATAAAATAGATGTTCCATGTTTTATATAGTCATCTATAAAGATCGATCCGAAAGGCCTAAAAGAGTATAATATGGTTCTATGTGATAATTTTTAAATTAAAATATAATTAATATGTTAATATTAGAGATAAGATGGATGTGCCACGTTTTAAATAGTCATCTATAACTATAACGATATAACGATAAGAATAAATAGTTTGTTTTTCTATATCTTATTCGTATGTACCTATGTACGTACGTATTTTTTCTGTCAATTAGTGTATGTGTTTTTTTTTGCCTTTTTCTTGGGTACATACGGATATATGCATTTTTTTCCTTTTTTCTTGCAGCTTTTTTTTTTATCCGCTGCAGGAGAGGTGGAAGAAAAGCGTACGTACACAAATGGCTCGATGGGTGGGGAGTGGGGATTAGTAGGTTGATGGGCTTATTAGGCCCGTTATTTTCAATTTTAATTATTATATATATGGTATAAAAAGGAGGAGGAAAAAATATAGTACGTACTCCCTCCGTACTCGTAGAGGAAGTCGTTTAGGACAATGTTTATAATTAAGTCAAACCTTAGGAATATAAATCATGAATAACTCTCAAGTTATTGAGTTTGGAAATGTAAAAATTATATGAATAGATTTATCTTGAAAAATAGTTTCATAAAAGTATACATATATCACTTTTCAATAAATAATTTTATAGAAACATGAAGTCAAAGTTGTGTTTTGGAGACCGTGTCGCTGTCCTAAACGGCTTTCTTTACGAGTACGGAGGAAGTACACTGCTACGGAGGGATCGTACTATACGTAAGTTGGACGGAGGGAGATTTTGTTTCCTCGTAAAGATAAAAATCTAACCATTCAAAACTAATGAACTAATGGGTCCACCAATTTAAATAAAAATCGACGGTTAGATTTTTTTATTTTATTAGAGTGACCTGTGGTGACTTGAGAGTGTTTATATGATGACACATGGCAGCTTAAGCATTTGTAGGAAATTTAATAGACTTTAGCATATAATAATAGATAGATTACGGTTACGTGTCAGGAAGAACCCACCTACAATAATTCCAGATATACCTTGTTCTAGCTGTAGATATTACACGCCGTATATGCTATGCAATTTTTAAGTGACGATGAGACTTGAACGATTCAATACTTGGGATGTGTTTTAGTTGCTGCTGTTGTCGTATGTCAATCTTCTATAACTACCTCTTTCTAAAAACCAGGTTCAGTTCCATGCCAATTCCGATCAAAATACGTTAATTCCATGAAACCAACCGGCTTACAGATAAAGTGCAGAGTCCAATCGAGATTATGTTGCATATGCAACCAATTCTACTACGAATCCTGATTGATGTGGTTTCTTCATACACAAGGAGATACGCAACGTATTCCGCTTAGATACCTAGCCGAATTCGTGAAATAAATAGAGACCACTAACTAACCTGATTGCCGCGCGCAATCACCTTTAATTACAGCCTTCCAGGAGGAGAGGAATTAACCTTTCTTCTCCATCAATCTCAGCGTCGTCCGTGTTCGACCGATCAATGGCGGCACCCGCAGCACCGCAGGAGACCAACGCCGCGGCCGGTGAGATGGTCACGCTGATCAGCTCGGACGGAGCTCGCTTCGAGGTGCCGGAGGCGGCGGTGAGGCTGTCGCAGACGGTGCTCGACGAGATGAAGAAGGACGACTACAACGCCATCAACGGCATCCCTCTCCCCAACGTCGCCGGCGACGTCCTCGCCAAGGTGGTCGAGTACTGCACCAAGCACGCCTCCGCCGCCGCCGCCGCCATCAACGCCGACACGGCGAAGACGAGCAAGGAGGAGGAGGAGCTGATGATGAAGAGCTTCGACGACGAGTTCATCCTGGTGGACAACCACATGCTGTACAGCTTGCTCACGGCGGCGGACGCCATGCGCATCCAGGGGCTGATGGACCTGGCATGCCAGCGATTGGCGGACATGATCAAGGGCAAGACGTCGGAGCAGATGAGGCAGACGTTGGGGATCACCAACGACTTCACGCCGGAGGAAGAAGAGGAGTTTCGCCGGGAGGACGAGGAACAATGGCTCTGATCCTATTCTTACATGTATTAGATCGATGAGCAACTTTAAGTATATGCAGTTATGCACCATGTCTTAGTTAATTACCGGTTAGGTAGTAGTATTAGTTAATTACAGTCTATGCAGGTTCGTTCATAATATGTTCAACGTTAGATGTAAAGGAACTAATTAGTGCTATAAGTTGTTACTATATTTTTCTATACTGCAATGCGAGGGACGGTGTCACGTACTCACGTCTCCAACGGGATCGCTCGCCCCTTTTCCATTGCAATTCTCAAGCTGTCACATTGGATAAAACCGCAATCAATACTGCCTAAGGACCTAATCGCAGACAATACTGCCTAAGGACCTAACCGCTGTCAATACTATCCAAGGACCCATAGTGTCTTAGTTTTGTACATTAAGGGATCTCATATATCTAGTTTTTGGGTTCACGGACGATTTTATAACTTGGTGACAACATAAGAGACGTCATGCGAACTTTTTCCAAAGTGCACACAACTCGTGATCGTTAATGAAAAAATTAAAAATCTTAAGGCTTCGATTCATCCGTCGTTTGAGTTCGAGTCCTTAAAAAAACCCCAAGTTAGATCTCCAAATCAATAAATTAACAAGACAACAAAAACAACACAAAAAGGC